CTTTGTTTTGTAGTTTTATTCATGTATCCAGTTGTATATGACAGGTCGCTAAAGTATAAGGTATGTGGTATTCAGAACGCACGCGTATGGCTCGTGGGTATTGTATACCGATTTGCTCGCAAATTATGTCACCGCTGAGGGCGGCTGCATCTGATCACTCAGGAACCTTAAACATAAAGTATCCTCGGGGGCGGAGGTACGTCACAAGACGTTCCACGTTGCTAAGACGCGCACCACTGTACATGCATTTCTATGGGCTCTGTGCGTGCTGTTGTGGAACGCCAGTCGAGCCGGTGAAAATTCGAGAAAACAACACAAAGTCAACTTTGAAGTAATCCTGAACAACCAAATTTATATATGTTACACACGTAGGGCTAATCTTGTTACACTGTTCAGGGGACTCTCAACAACCATCGCAAAGTACAAGCGGTGAAAATGCCCGGATGTCGGCTCCCGAGGATTGATTCAAAACTAGGTATGAGGATGTCTGTATCTGATTCATATGAATTACTATTCAAAAAGAAAAAGATGCAGCTATACCATACATAGAACTCAATAATGACATTAGACAAACAGATATGATAATTGGGAATGGTAGAATAGAAGGAGATCTATCTGGTAAAGTTACATGTTACCAGTACAATGGTGTAAGCCAGGTAGATTATTTTATTTTTCAAAAAATTAGATATTTTAGAGTTAACCAGCTAAACCACCTAAATCAGATCATTGTTCAATAATGGTTTCAATTAATACTAATTATGTTACTAACAAGGACATTGACATCTCATTGTTTCCTTACAAAAAATATATCTGGAACAATTCTTCAAAATCAAGCTCCATTTCGCAACTTAATTCCCAAGATCTTCTAGTAAAATTAAACATTTTATGGAAATTAACTTTGAACACAGAGACGGTGATAGCTTGGTATTAGAGCTCAATGACATCATTCATTCTGCTGTCAAAATTAAGAATTATAATAAAAATACAAAAAGAAATACTGAACATAAATGATTTGACAGTGACTTGGAAACTATCCGGAAGAAGTCGACAAATTTCCATTTGATGTAACACTGAGAACGGAAAGACAAGCTTTATAGAAAGCAAATCAAATTAAAAAAATGTAAATTCAAACAAAAACTGTTAAACAATTTATTAAGGATGGAGAAAATATAATTCGGCACATTTTTGGCATACCATCAAACAAATTAAAGAATTTAACAACTGTGATGGTAAACAAAGTTCACACATTTCTCTTCCTTCTATAACGTAAAGTCTTGAACTTCTGACAAATCTACTGAGTTAGAAGTACGGACAGCACTAGAGGAGAGCATTGCTAGTCTAAGTGACAATCTTGATCTTGATAAAGAGATTGCCATTAAAGAAATTAATGGTGCTATTCACAAACTAAAAACTGGAAAATCATCTGGTTCTGATGCTATAACCAACGAGATGTTCAAATACTCCACGCCATCACTTATACTTTGTATTAACAAACTTATCAATCAAATCTTATCAAGTGGAAGATTTCCAACTGAGTGGAACACTAGTTATCTAGTACCACTGCATAAAGCTGGGGATATTACAGATGTTAACAACTATAGGGGTATTGCCCTATAAAAGTGGCAACTGGCTGCAATTATATTTGGACACCCAAAACTATATTCAGAATAAGCAGTTGGGTTTTCGGTTACCACCGTACAACTGACAGTATTAATAAGGGGAATAAAGCATGTCTATATGCTTGTTTTGTTCACCTGCGAAAGGCTTTGATAGCGTTTAGCGAGAAGGCATGTTGTATAAATTACAAAAAGCAGGAGTCAGAGGTAAATTATTAATGATCTTTCTAAAAAATATTTATTCAAATCCTGTGAATCTGGAAGGTGTGTTAATCAATTCATTACTCTTTGCTGATGATGTTGTGATACTCAGATATAACAGTACAGGAATGCAAAATAGCCTTGATAAACAGTACTGCAAAAAGTGGAAACTTTAAGTCAATAAATTATCAAAAATTATTATATTTAATAAACTAGGTAGGCGTATTGAAATGGATTTCTACCTAAATGATAACAAAATCCAAGTAGTTACATCATATAACTATCTTAGTACAATTTTTCAAAGTAATGGTAATTTAAAACTTGAAAATCTGGTGATGAAAGCACAACATGCATTATGTATTCTTAGGCAAACTATCACTTTACATAACCAAACTCTTTCTATTGGTAATAAAAAGGAATCTATGTTGAACAAGTTTGGCTATCAACAGTCTAGACAACCCAAAACAATAAATTACGTACATACACTCAGTTCAAAGCTACGTATAAATTTGAACCATATTTGAATCAAGTAAAAAATGCACAACATAGAACCAGCTTCACCAAATCTAGGATATCTGCACATACCCTACCAATTGAAAAACTTAGATAAATGTATCAAGGGATACCTCCAGAGGAAAGAAAGTGCCAACTTTGTAACAATGGGGCTATTGGCAATGAAATCCATGCACTTTTAGACTGCAACTATACTGGAATAAGAAATGCTCGTACTGAATTTCGAATATAGTTAGCATCTATAATGAACGTATCTTTACACTATCAAAACAAAAAATGTTTGCAGAAATTTTAAGTTCGAGAGATGTGTTCATTGCCAATAGTGCTAGTAAATTTATTGACAGCATATTATTTTACTATAATTTTTTTTTAGATTTTAGTGTTTTATGTATTTTCTTTTGTTTCGTGTGTGTTTTGTTATATTTAATGTCTTTTGACCACAGATAATGTACCTAAATATATTATTTAATGTCAAATGAAAAATATACATTGGCCAATTTTCAGCATATCATGATAATGGAATCTGAGTATACCAACACGTTTGTATTTCAATAAACAATCACACACATAATCATATGAAATTATGGGAGTGTCGGCGCAAAATTTAATTACAAAACGTAATATCCACAAACAACGACGATTGGATACCCCCGGGGGAGGGGGCTACTTCCATAGAAGTGCAATACTGGTACGTGCCGCCGGACTGGGGTGTCATTTCACATTCTTTTGTTTAGAAGTGGGTAGTCATTTATCAATGTTTTGGTTTAAAAGTGTGTAACATGTATTTACTTGTCATACTTCAGTTATGTCAGACACATTAATGCAAATTACTAAAGTGAATGTAAGGATTACTTATTTAGGCAGCTGTTTTGTGTTTAATTTGCTTTCTCCTAGGTCAGTGACACCCCCACCCCCAGTTGACATAGTGTATGTGGTACGAGTTAAGCCATGTAGGTCGCTGAAAACACTTGTGTTTAGAAGTGGGTATATAAATAGAACAAAATGGTTTAGAAGTGAGTATGTTTACTCGAGGTGGGCTGCACACCCCTACCCACTTAAGACTGAAGTACCCCCCTCGGGTTGGACACTCGCTATTCCATACGGTAACGACTTTGACTGAACCCGGAGACTAAACTAACGATCAATGAGACATGCTTTTGTTATTATATCGATGTCACATGTCGATTCATAGTGTTATGGTTGTATATACTGATACAACATAAAGTCGAGAAACGACCACTTTCCCGGAAGTAGTGAGACCGAGAAGCAGAAATACACCAGCTTCGTCATAGCGGCGAATACAAACATGTCAGTTAGTTGATATTCGATAGAAAGAAATTTGATGTTTGTGACGTAGATTGGTTCAAAGCACAATATCACGCGTGCTAGTTTACGTTACATGTGCGCGCATGCGAAACGTCGTATCTTCGACTTCTGGGAAAACTGTCTATAAAGTACGATAAAAGGAAGCTGCCGATTATTATTTTTAGGTGTTAGAAATATAAAACAAATTGCAAATGTTAATCCGAACCCCCCCCCCCCCCCAAATCAGGACAGACTGAATTTATGTCCAGGGAGGTGGGTGGTAGTTATGCCTATGACTAATTTTCACTGGGTTTAGATTTCACTGATTTACCATTTCAGGGATATTCAATGGGTATTAAATACTGTTTTTATCATTTAAATAATGTGTTCTATGCTTAATCTTACATAACCACTGTTTTATTTTAGAGCATTTTCCAGTCAGCGAAATAAGCAAAATTAAAACACATACATTGTGAGGGCGCTATTCATGGAAACATCGAACTATCTGGCCTAAAACATTTCAATTTGCTCTACATTATATGGCGTTTTGATTCAATCATTTAGCCAAGATAAAGTATTTTACAGTATACATACATTTAATCTAAAAAAAAACTTAGAAACAACTCCTGTGTGCTTAAAGTATTTAAGATGCGAATTAGAAATAAGGAATGAATGTTTCAAATGTTTTACTTTGACTATACACTCGCCTCTTTCATTCACACTTAAGCACTTCTAGAAAATAATTTAAAAATGACCTGGGTGGTTCCCAGTGGGGTATGTAATAAATGCATGATCGACATTTAGGTAATACATCTTGTCCTACATTATTATCGTAGTATTAGTTGCATGGCCCAATCTGCAGTATTGCTCAATTTACAATTATGCATATTAATGAGGAAACAAAATATATGGTCATAGCTACATTAGCAATATCTCTTGTTAAATGCCTTCAATATAGCACTGGTTGCATATCACAAGATTTGCTTTATTTTTATGCAAATTAGGTATATAATACCAGTATGTACGGATTTCAACTGAAAACTGATCAGGTCCGAGGACCTGGCATGTTTGAGAGCTTCTGCAAAGTTTCATTGAAATATGATTAGTTCTTGAGATATTGATATATTATGCAAATTAGGTAATTAAAATGCACACATTTGAACACAAAAGTAAATCAGATCTGTGCACTATCCAATGGAGTCTATGTACAGACAGATGAATCCAGAGAGTGGTACAGACGCACATACACAGACTAATCTTGAAGACTTATAGTGCACGAAAATTTGTTGTCTACACATTTTTCTAATCAAATCAGACTACCAACAATGAAATGTGGTTGAATTAATATTATGAAAGATAACAAAATATATTCAAAACTGTTAATTTATTGTAGTAAAGAAATACAAAAAGACTATGAATACACGTCTTATACAACCCTGAAAGATAAAATATTCAGTATAAAAGGAATTGCCATGACAACCAAGAAATTAATCTGATAAAATGTTAGGACGAAAACAAGTAGCCAGTAACAAGTTGCCATGTTATCGCATGTAGTTCAGTGTTGGTCCTTTGGATATACAGTTTACTGTAGAACCATTATATATGCTTGTCATTATTTTGTTTACTGGGCTCCTGTGCAATACAGACAAGTTACCTCACCAGAACCAATGGCCCAGCCATAATGGTTGTTGTTCCTCACTGCATCCAGTATTATATTAAAGTTGTATTGTCGACAACAGTTTGTTTGTAGCCCTTGATAATGTGTATACTGCACTATTAATGGCAGCTACAGTAGTACAAGACGTCTGCCTTGGCAATAGCTGAACATCACTGACGTGTTATGTAGTCTCCGATGTGATTAAATTTCAAGGAATCATAAAATCACCAAAATGCCATAACAGATTTGATTTTTGGCAAAGTTATCAGTATTTCATATTGAAAGGGGCTTTCAACCTAGTTTTGCTAACAATACAACTTCAATAACCCTTTAAAAGCCATACTTGTTCTAGACAAAATGTAGGCGCTAAATATTGCATATTTTTATAATTTTGTACCAAATAGATTATTGTCACAGACATGTTTTTTGTAGACCGAAACAGGAACACTGTCAGTGCAACTTGCAGACTGGTTTGCTGTTTATGTATCAGAATTAGAACTGGTTAGATCAGACTATTTTTACGAGGATGAGCTGTTCAGTTTATTGATGACCTGTATAATACAAACCTTTTTGATGATGACCGCCCGACATTTTCATAAACTCTGGCAATAATAATGAGCTTCTTTGAAAATGGAAGTATGAAACACACCTGTGCAACTGTCTGGACATACAAGACAGAGTCAATACATACATTTTATTGTAATAAATATATGGAATATGAAATGCTCTCAGCACTAGTTTGATGTCTCCTAGTTTGATTTTGATTTGTTCTAACCATGGAATGATCTTAAGATGTACATGGCAATGTTGTTGTATAAACAATATACAGTAGCAGCAATTCACTACAGTACATTAACAAGAGAGGAAATTACAATTAATTAGGTTGTTTTTAAAAACATTTGAATCTACTGTAATATGTGGCTAAGCCAGCAGTGAACTAATATTGCCAAGGCCCCTCAAGATAATTGACTAATTCATTTAATAGATGTAATCCACTGATACCACAACCAGTATGGAAAGAAGTTCAAATATTCAACTAGTTTAATATATTATATTTATTGAAATTACAACAACATCATGATATGCAGTTGTTTTGAACTGCTCTTCCAGCAACTTGTGTAATTGGCAGTGTTCTTCAAATTAGTAACTCCTTCCAAACATTACAATCACTCACACAATGCTACTATTCACTGTCTACAGACACAATTCATGCACAATATAAATAAGAGCAGTAAAACATCAGTACAATTATGTATCTAGATTCTGAGGACATTGCACATTCATAGCACATTAAAAAGGATCAGAATAAACACTAAACTGGAAGAAACTGGACATATGGTAGTTTTACCAAACCATGCATGGAGGGTGAAGTATTGACACAATTTGGAACATAGTAGCCATAGAAAGACAGAATGATAAGGTTGATTTGCATAACATTACATTTGTTTATATCATATTGAAAGAGCACCTCTGATAGCAACCATAGGCCAAAAATTGCATTTATAGTATATTGAATTATTAGAATATTTTGAGCAGACATCTGTCATGTACATAAGTGCATGTACATTCAAACCTATGTATAGCAACCACCAAAGCTATTTTAAGAAAGGTAGTCTTTATATGGAGTTTGATTGTTTGTCAATAAAAATGTGAAATTTCTTAGTTTAAGGGGAAAATATTTAAACAGATATTTGAAAACTGAGAAATAATAAAAATATGATCATCTTGATTAAAGTGAAAATGTCAGTGTAGAGTGTAGCGTAAAACACTACACATGCAATCATGTGCCACCATTTTGGTATTTATACACAGGTTTATTTTATGGTCACATTAGACAGGTGGTTTTTATATACAGGTCCTCCTTTACACGACAATTACACAGTGACTGCCCAATGGGGGTCACTATAGGCAAGTGGTCTATATACAAATGTCACTATTAAACACAGTTTTGACTGTACATATAATAGAACAAATACAGCATTAATGATACAGTCAATTAATTCATTATTAGAAAATTCAATAAGAAAATTGAAATAGACAATAAGTGCCTCATTAATCTATTCCTATTTGATTGTCATGAACAACCTGGAAAAAAGTGGAAAAGTAAAACATCCATCCTAGTTTTCAGTCAATTTGTTAAGAATACAAGTGGAGTACTCATCTAGACAGTACAGTTATTAAACAGATACATGTCTACATTCCTGAGTCAGGCTTTTTTTACTGTGGCTTTAGTTTAACACTCACAGAAATAGTCTTCAATTTCTCATACAGCAATGAAAAGTTCTGAAACAGAACAAGAACTCAGATTATTTCAGTAGAACTGGTTATAATTGAGTAGAACAAGATACAGTCATTGTCCCCATCCAACAGTGTAGTGCAGTGACATTTACAATTAATTCTAACATAAATTGAGGTGATACAGTAAATGTGATCTTCATAAAAGTTGAAATTGAGCCAGACATGGCTGAAACAGATCAAGGCATATTTCAACAATGGTTTTAGAGACTGAAATGACTGCCAGTCAGTCAGTCCAACAATTTAAATCAAAAAGTAAAATAATGTATATGTGAATATAGTTGCTACAAGTATGAATGTATAGAATAATACTAGTGTTTCATATTTGATGTTTAGACAAATTTTTTTGAATTTCCAGAGTCATAAAAAAACAAGGAATTTTGTAGAAGTGATATTTTCTCCTTTGTCTTCACAAATGCCATGAAATCATCAATTCACAAATATTTCTAGCAACAAAAATTAAGCGCTTTACAGTATGGTTTTGTCTTGTCTTGATTAATATTTACTCTTACCTGAATTGCCAAATACACTAACCCCAGGTAAGCAGCAATACCAAAGGCTAGGAACAGATCAAATACTGCTGGCTTAACACTGAAAAATAAAGATTGTTTTTAGTTAACAGGTAACAGGTAAAATCTGACCTTGCTTTTTGAAATGGCTCTCTAGAACATGGAAATGCAAGTGATTATGGGGGGGGGGGTATACTATTCAAAATGATATAAGATCAAGAGAATGATAATTAGCTCTTCTGGTTCTTGATTTGGTCAAGTGGAGTGATAACTTCTTGTCAGTAAGGGTCTTTTGTAATGAGAAATGTTTGTACAGTATAACCATTATATTATAACAGTACATGTACTTACTTGTAAGCATACATAGTGAACATGAGGCCATCGTAGAAAACAAACTCTGGATCCCTGTTAAAATAGTCACATATAGACATTTCACTATGTACATATTGAGTGTGTATGCATAGTAAATTTATGTATTTTACATTGGTAAATATGCTCACTGGTATTTGTCAAAATGAACATTTGAAGAAACAAAAGAAACAAGGATGTTGAACAAACTTCCTCGAAAACAATTTGCATGCACAATAAATCTTGGCTGGATACCAGAAAAGAAAACAAGACAGTCAGTCTTTGAAAAAGAACTACATGGCCTTAAATATCATAAATAAAATGAATATGTTTGATTGTACTGGGAAAACAAGATTTACCCAGTCCACCAGTTTGTAAAAGATTAATGAAACAAAAAACTAATAGACATACATGTATTCCATTATGACTTGTCTTTGTAGTAACTTTGAACAAAATCAGTCCAGATATGTCAGAGAAAAGATTTTGAATGGACAAACATAGATAGATGGATGTCCATAACTTAAGACACAAGTACCTGTTTCGGACTAAGTTTGACAGGCATTAAACAAACACCCTGACATTAAAAAGAGCTTTGCTGTCCAACAAAAACATTGTGGTAGACAAGTCGAGCAACGCACACCCATAAGACTCCTTCTTGAAAACTGCCAGCTCAATTTGATACCAAGTATCGAAGCAATTGAGTTGGTAGTTTTCAAGAAAAAGTCAAAAATGTAAATGTTGACTGACAGACAATCACCTATATGAACAGCATTGCTCTGTCATCTATGATGACAGCGGAGCTGGAAATCAGTTAATAGCAATAACATCAGAAATATTTCAGCCAGCCATTTCAAATCAAATCGTGCTAGCAACAAACCATGAAATTAGCAAAGACACACATGTGACAAACTTTTGAAAAATTGTGTTGATGTTGGATGCACACAAGAACAGACAGGTGAATGGATGAAAAAAATCTAACACCAGATTTCAGGCTTGAAGGAGTACTTAAATGAACAGACTAGATGGCAGTAAACTCATAGTTACTGAAATTCAATTATTTACAGCATTCATACAACACAAGCCAGTGGCATATGCCTACTTTGACTATCATGCCAGGGAAATGCCTTACCTTTTATCAGCTTTCACATTAAATCGCTTTACCTCTTTCAGATATCTACTCATAGTGTGTTCTAGTGTGTGCAGAAGATGGTGATCTTTATTCATGAGAGGTGCTGCTCTAGGATAAGATGACAAATAGTCCATCCATGATTCTACAAATTCTCTATTCACAGCCTGACAATATAAATGGATACATTATTACTACAATAAAGTCATTGTGTGGAGACTACAGGCTATATATACTTTAGGTTAACACTATTAATGCTGTAGATGTACTGTATTTGCCCTATTACCGCACTCGAGCGCGTTAGCGCCCATGCTCGGGCAAGCACCCACCCCCCACTTTTGCGCAATTTTTATATTTGGGGTCACATTCGGCAAAGCACCCACCCCTTCAAAAATTTAAAATTTGGTCTTGCGTAACGAATCTTGGTAATCGTTTTTATATGATACAGCGTGGATATCGACCGCTGTGAACATGTTGTGAATGCGTAGAACACAGGCGCTCGGAACGTTTCTTGGATAATAAAAAAATTACCTAAAGTAGGATCGGCATAGTTAGTCAGTCGCCGGTACATTCCCCTACCACTCATAATAACACATGGTAGAAAAACGTTGACACCATGACATCAAAACTTCCCAAAAATAACATGATTTTCCAAATTATATTTCAATCCGCTTCGCAAAACTCAAGCATGATATCGGTAGAAACTAACGATCGACTTATATTACCTTTATTCGAATTAAAACGGCTTAAATCCTGTGAAAATCAAAACACCAGAGCAAAAAGAACAAATCCATCTACGCGGATATTTTGAAGCAGTGACCCGAGAATGCGCACTTCCCAAACATGTACGCACATACTGCATAGTCTCAAAATTTAAATATTGTATTGTTGTATCATTTATATGTTGTATTTTTAAATTTAATTTTCCTGAAAAATAAAAATTGAGCTAATAGCTCGGAATATAAAATATAATATATAAAAAAACATCTACATTGGTTTTTGATGACGCAATACGCACGTACATGTTTGGGAAGTGCGCTGTCTTTCTGGGCGCTAACGTGGTCGAGTACGGTAGTAGCAGTAGGTGTGCTTATAGTCAACACAAGTCATATTTTAATGATTCAGCATGCAATAAATGCAATTTTTGTCATTAAGGTAGAGATGCAGTTTACCTGACAGCTATTTTAAATAGTTAATTAGGAAACCAAGATGACCTCCCTTGTCCACAAAACTACATGTCTTCGAAAAGCTTATTGTATGAATTTTAAAGTTTTGTTAGTATTTTATTTTTATGGACACTGTAGTTTGAAATATGCACAAAAATTTGCTTTTTTGGTCAAAAGTGATTTTAAAAAAATTAGCTTCTAAACCATGTTTCTGTTTCCTGTCAAAATTGGTTTATGGGTACATCTGTTTACTATGAAGAAAGCGCCGTTTTGAAAACTGTCTACCAGTTGTCAATTTTGTAGGGCAGCAGCTCAAATTTTACTACTTCAAGTTTATGCATAAATTAAAACCCAGGCTAGTTGTCTGAACGATTGCTGTAACACTATTCAACTAAATACAATGCCCCGACAGCGTTTTGAAGATAAACACATTGTCAATCATTTGTGAAAATTTCAAAACAAAAGGTCAAAGCGTCTAGGAGCTATTTTTTTTTAAAGTTCTGGAATGTGCACTAAAAAGAAGCTGAGATAATGCTAATTTGCATAACAATTCACTCAGTAAGAAGTTTGCTAATGCTCATAATTAAAATGGCTGTTACAGTTTCAAATTTAAATGTATTATCGTTTTGTAAAAAGTTAAATACAGTGCAT